CCAAAACTCAGAAAGCCTTTTTCTTTAAAGAGTTTGTCAAGTTTTTTGTTTGTGTTTTGGGGGGTGGGGGTTTGAGGGAAAGGGCATGGTGTTAAAAGGATGGCTAAAGGGTGGTAGATTGGGTTTTTTGTTCTATTCAAGTGAGAGTGTTGAAGACAAACGCTGTGATATTCTGAGAGGGAGGGACGTTCAGACCTGGGCCAGATTTGCATCAGGAGGTCCATTTTTGAGTCTTGGCTCCATTACTTACTGTTTACCTGAGCCAAGTTGCCACTCTTCCTGAGCCTGAGGTTTTTCAACATAAAATGGGGAATTTGAAAGGTCAAATAAATTAACTCATAAGATTTGTGTTGTCTGGTTTATTGTAAACGTTGAGTCCTATGGAGACTTCAGAGATTTTACCATTCGTATTTTTATGATATATAGAACAGCTTAAAACTCCCCCTTTGGTGTAAGTATAGTATATAGAGGTATAATGTTCTGAATAAATTACTACAGTCATAGTTTGTGAAACCTAATTATAGCTGGTACTCTGGAAATGTAACTCAGTTGTAGTCCAGAAGTTTGTGCTCAGGGTGGTGCTGTTTCCCCATAAATCTGATGATGTTTTACATTTTATCTCTGTTCCAAATTAAGCAAATAACTGGATATATGCTTAGGGCTATTTCTGCCTTCCACAGTCCCCAAGCCATCTTTCCTTGTGAGACCCCACCCAAAATCATGTCGTAGAAATGTGTATTTATCCCATATTCACTAGAACACACGTGGGAGCTAATTGTTGAGTATACCAGTGGACCTGTTACATTTTGGAAGACATTTGTTAATACTTTGGATACTACAGCTTACATTTTGTATTTTACAGTCAGTTTGTTTTTAGGTCAGAAATACTTGAAAAGCTTGTAAGCCCTGGCTCCTAATGGAGTAAAGGACCTAATGTAGTTCTTCTGCAAACTGATTACAAGGGAAAATACTCATTTCGAACTTATTTTGCTCATAATCTCTATCCGGACCGCCATATTAATCATTTCCTACTTCTTGTCAGAAACCAGACATGCATTTCATAGATGTGGTCATTGTGTGTTTGATGTGAATTGTTTTGTTTTGTTTTTAGATCCGGGGATTTCTGTCACGGTTTGATAATGTCCTTCCCGTCAGCCTGGCATTTGACAAATGTACAGCTTGTTCTTCCAAAGTAAGTCATTTTGTATTGGAGGGACTTGTTTTTAAAAGTGAGCGGGTCAACATTTGACCACAGCCTCACCAGCTAGAGCCATTGAAACCAACTAAGAGCTTTTTGTGGGGGAAGGGTGGGGTCTAAGCACTCAGAAAGGACTTTGTTTTCATGGATGTGTATTCATTCTCACAGTGGTTTAAAACCAGCCTGAGAAAATGTGTAGGGAGACGAGTTAGAATATTTCAACTCTGTATCAATACTTACATCATGCTAATTTTGTCTTGAATTTGAACTTTACTGCTCTTTGTTCCTCCCCAGAGGGTTCCCTCCTAGCAGGGACCCTCACAGAGCAATTTTTTAAAGCATTACTCTGAGAGTGAGGCAGCCCTGGCTATGCGTCTTCTGCAGATCCACATAATTACAAAGAAAAAGTAAACAGAGATTAGGGGTCTGGATGGGGAGCCACTAAAAGGGCCCCTTCAGCTTTGATCTTTCCAGAAGCTCTAAAAATAGAGCCAGTATGTTAGCCATCATAATGGGAAACGGCTGATATATCGCAAAACTACAGTGATGGCATCTCATGTTTTAATAGGCTTTCAGATACCGTCTGAGTGACTTTTACATGTACACTGTATGTGATAGCTGATTTCCTTTCAAGTGTCCCTTTCAGACTTCTAATGCCCAGTGACTTGACCTGGGCTTTTAAGGCTCATAATTGCTGATAAGTAAAGATTTTCATGTTGAAGTACTATACAAAATAATGTTGTTGGCCACTAATCCCCAACTGTGGCTTCTCAGTTATAATTTGGGACTATTTTTCTGTGTAGCCTTCATCGTCTGCCACTGTGGAAGAAAGAGAATTCTAGGGACGTTTTTCTCTATTCTGAGTTGACAAGCTTCCTTTGAAAACTGTACTTGGGCTATATTTTATGGGAAGCACAATTCTGACCAGTTTCTCTAAAAAACTGAATGTAGAATTGACAAGCAATGTTGATAAATTTGGTTACATTTAGATGCTCAAAAATTTAGAGTAATTATTTTCTTTTTGCTTCCAAAGTAAATTAAGCCCGTTTTATTATGCATCCTAAGTGCCTATGTTGAGATTTCAGGCTTAGACTTCGTCAGTAGTTACCCATGAGCCCATTCTTTCTGTAGTTTCTTTAAGATATATCTGCTCAAGCCAGGGCCTCAAGGATGTCTGTCTGCATGCACCTTCATCCTCAGAAATGCAAGTTTTAGGATTATATACTACATCTTTAGTGGAGCAGATTTTTTTTTTCTTTGAATGGTTGAGCTAACTGGTCTCCAAATAACTTGACAGTATTAATTTTCATACTGAAATCATTTGGCACAGGTGCCAGAAGGTTTTCTATAGCTTTATGTTGGTCTGGCTAGTCAATGAAATAAAGATAATTGGTTTCTTTAAGTGAAATGCAAACACTCATTCTTTTTTGTTCTATTTCTAATTAAATTAGCCTTTGAGATACTGTTTATAAAAGAATCACAAGCATACCAACTAACTGGGCATTCCTTATATACTTTAAAAGAGAATAGCTTAGCATTTTTCTTTCACACTTATTGTAAGCTTTAAATTAAATACAGGTATCACTTTTTTGTTAGCAAAATTATTTCCTCTTGGTGATTATTCTGAGAGTCCTGCTTTACATAAACATGTTGGACGATTTAATAAAAACTGACTCGGATTTTAACAGCTGTGCTATTCCCATAGCGATCACTTTTCATGTGGTCTGGGTATTAAATTTCTTTTGTGCTGGAAAGGTTGCTTCATTGGTGCACGTATTTCCTTACAGTAGAAATGCAGCATTTACTTACTTGGCTACCTTCTTTATTCGCTTAGGAGATTGTCATTCTCTATTATCTACAAACTCAATATTAATACTTTAAAATGACAAATCCAATTACATTTTCATTTCTTTGTATGTGAATTTTTCTTAATGTGTATTTAGCATAATACATTTTATACAGAGTCATGTCATAGTTGTTATTGTTTCAAAAGATTCTTTGGGGCTAAAAATGACTTTTAAAAATGTATCCTTTGACATTCATGAAGTAATTTTTTCCTTTGGTAGTTTTCAGTATGTTTCCTCCTCCCCACCAGGATCAAGGCCATGCTTGTGTCTTGATTTAACCACAAATAGAGACAGATTGGGGAAGTAGAATAAGTTCTGCTGGATAGTAAAACACTTGTTCATTACCTTATTTATTAAAAACAAAGCAATACCATTATATACATATATATATATAGAGAGAGAGAGAGCATGCATACACACGAGCGAGAGCTCTCTATGTAGCCTGAGATGGGGAAGAATACAGTGCTTTGCCTCTAAAGCAGAAAAGTTGGAACGTTTACCCACAAATCATTTCTTATCCTATTTGATCTTAGGTTGGCACATAAGAAGGTGAATTGTTCCATCTTAGGGGAAAAATACTGAAGAATGGTGGGGAGAGGTGGGTGGTGAGGAGTCACTTTCATTCCAGTTTCTACTTACTGTCTTGCAGAACTTTCTAAACAGATAGTATTTGTCAATGAAATTTCAAAAGACCTTATTTGAAGTTTATGTGAGTTGCTCTTTACTTCTACAAAGAAATTCCAAGCTAACTAGAGTATTGTGGCATTACTACCAGAGGGAAAAGTACAATTTTTAAAATCAATATTCCTGGAAGAATTTCCTGTAGTACATTAAATTACTTTGTTATTGTTAGACTCTCACCTAAATATTTTTTGGCAGTAGAGTATTTTTGGGTAACTTTCTATTTGATACAATTTTAAGCTTAATAGAAACATTGCAAGAATAGTACAAGGAACTCCGGTATGCACTTTACCTACATTCATCCATTGTTAACATTTTGCCCCATGCATATGTGCTGTCCTCCTCCAATCCCTCCTCCTTCCCTTCCCCTCCCCCATTTTTTTCTTGAAATTTTGAGAGTAAGTTGGAGACATTGTGATCCTTTATAACTGAATGCTTCAATGTAAATTCCAAAGAACAAAGACATTCTCTTACCTAAACACAATACCCTTTTACCCTTATCAAATTCAGGCAGTTTAATGTTTGCACAATACTATTTTCTAATCCACAGTCTGTGTATTCAATGTTGTTGTTTATACCAGTTAATGTTCATTATAGGTTTTTTCCTCCCAGACCAGGATCCAATTGAGGATCAAACATTGCATTTAGTTGTCATGTCTCTGGCTTCCTTCAATCTGGAAAAGTTACTTCATCTTCCTCTGTCTTTCTTTGATGTTTTGATATTTTGCCAGTTATTTTTGTAGAATTTCCCTCAATGTGGATTTGTCTGATGTTTCCCTATGATTCAATGCAGGTTATGAATTTTTGGTGGGAATACCAAAGAAGTGATGCTGTCTCCTCGTGTCGGGAGTTATATATATTATATCCCTTTTGGTGATGCTACTTTTTCGTTTTCCATATTTCTGACTACCTTCAACAGTGAGAAACCTGCGATCTTGGCTCACTGCAACCTCCATCCGCCTCCCAGGTTCAAGTGATTCTCCTGCCACAGCTCCCCAAATAGCTGGGATTACAGGCGCTCGCCGCCATGCCTGGCTAATTTGTTGTATTTTTTAGTAGAGACAGGGTTTCATTCTGTTGGCTCAGGCTGGTCTCTAACTGCTGACCTCGTGATGCGCCCACCTCGGCCTCCCAAAGTGCTGGGATTACAGGTGTGAGCCACTGCGCCCAGCCCTATCCTGGATATATTTACTCACTTGCTGAAGTCTAGAATACACAGGAAGTAGTTTCAAAATTGCTAGCCCATACTACTACAGAAAATAAACCTAGAACCTAGAGTTCCTATTTGTGCATAGTTCTTTTTTTCTAGGTAAAATTTATATATGGTGAAATGTATGAATCTTAAAACAACTCTAAGTTTTAACAAATGTATACACCCATGTAACCCACACTCTTCCCATCAAGATATTAGAGTTCTGCGATCACTCCAGAAAGTTCCAAGGTACCCTTTCCCAGTCAATTCTGGTGGAAGGGGAAGTATGTTGTATATTATGACTAGTCCTTCTCTATAAGGAGTAAAGCTAGGCACCTTCAGGTGTTCTATGCAATAATAGCCTTGTTTCTGGGACCCAGAAGTTGACCAAAACCTTTTTTCAGACCTGCAGAGTCAGGAGCAGGACTGTGCTAGAGGAGACTGCATGCAGAGTATTCTTGCTCTTGTTGCACAATTCTGTTGCAACCTTTGTGACATTGCAGGAACAGCCTGTTTTGAAGAATCAGGCTCCAAACTTGGTTTGCATACCATCTGGGACCCGTGCAGATGTAGCAAGATGTGCCCAGAAACCTGATCTTGAGATTTTAGTGATTAGCAACCCTAATAATACACTCATTCTGGTGTTGCCTATGCAGTAGGTTCTTCTGTTGATGGGTTATGATTAAACTCCTCAAAGTGATTCTGTTAGCTTTCTGTGTGTATCTGGGCATATGTCTTGAAGAGTGATAGGGTAAGGGTTGGGTAGGAATAATAAATGTCAGCTGGTATATCATACTTTGTTTTGGCCTTTGTCATAGCCAGCCTGCCCATTTATTTTTTGATATTATATAATCCTACCTTTCTTCTATCATATTTTCTTGTTACTTATGAAGCATGAAAGGCTAGGCATGGTGGCTCACACCTGTAATCCCAGCACTTTGCGGGGCTGAGGTGCGCAGATCCCCCAAGCCTAAAAGTCCGAGATCAGCGTGGGCAACATGGTGAAATCCTGTCTCTACAAAGAATACAAAAATTGGCCAGGTGTGGTGGCACATGCCTGTAGTCCCAGCTACTTGAGGGACTGAGATGGGAGGATCCCTTGAGCCCAGGAGGTTGAGATCATGCCATGGCACTCTAGCCTGGGCGACAGAGCAAGTCATGCCCATGCCTCCAAGCCCCCACCAAAAAGAAGCATGAAATACCAAAAGTCAACTTAGCTACTTAAATAGGGGTGTGTGTTTGTTTTTGATGGAGTTTCCCTCTGTTGCCAGGCT